CCTCCCACCTTTGTTTTGGCCATTTCTCTCCCTCCCTCCCCACCTTGTTTTGCCCATTTTCTCCTTTCCCCCTTCCCACCTTGTTGCCATTTTCTCCCTGCCCCACTTGTTGCCATTCTCCTCCCCCCTCCCCACCTTGTTTGCCATTTTCTCTTCCCTCCCCCCCCACCTTGTTGCCATTTTCTCTCCCTCCCCTCCCCACCTTGTTGCCATTTCTCTCCCTCCCCTCCCCACTTGTTTGCCATTTCTCCATCTCCCTCCCCGTGTCTTTTCCCTTCCTCTGCTTCTCCTCCTCCTCCTCCTCCTCCTCTGTCTGAAACTGCCCCCTGCCTCCCTCTTGTAAGTAGCTACTTTGTCCTTCCTCCCCTCCCTTTCTCCCATTTCCCTCTTATCTGCTACTCCCTCTTCCTTCCATTTATCTCCTTTCATCTCATTCAATGCTTAGTATGTAAATATTGTAGGTAAATTGGATAGGTGAATTCTGAGATACTTTTAAAGTTTTAAACAATAATTTTACGTTCAACAAGCCTGAGCAGAGTAGTTTTACTGTTTTCTTTGCTAGACCAAATTATAGAATCCACCTACATGAAACAAAATGCCAGATTTATCTGTGCAGAGGGGTTACATGACAGAGCTGAAAGGATTTACAATGTGACCTTGAATTCATTAATCTATTTACATTGTGGCTCTTGTATTCTTAAAACTGTCATTTCATTTTTTTTCTTTTTACCTCCTTTTCTCAGTATGGGCTTTCTTCTCACTCTCACTTTCCTAAACCTTTTCACTCAAGTTTATTTCCTCTCCTTCCCTCTTTCTTTGCCTCCAAATGTACCTACATCTAAATTATACCTGTCCCCTTGTTTCCTGCCTCGTGCCTATCCAAAATGGGTGGTCTCCCTTATCCATGTATTGTATGCACATCAGTAAAGTTTCAAGATTATGGTGGGTGTTTAATGAGCTTGCTTTTGATTTTGAAGATGTTGCTCCTTAGATTACCTGGGATACTCAATTATTCATTGCTAAGTTTTGTTTTTAATGCAAGTTTTATATAACTGTTATTATTGTGTTAATAACTTTTAGGGCACTTGTATCCTGTTTAGACAAATTGGTATAATAATTTCTCCATGTACAGAAAGTTTTGTAATCTATTACTATAAATTTGTATTGATCTATGTATATCATATATAATTTCATTAACCTGCTGGCACTAGGAGTGCATGTATATATGCAGTGTCCACTGTTATATTTTGATTAAACATTGATGGCTTCAGGAGGACTGTCATGGAGGCAAATACCAGGAATAATTGACCCCACCAATGAACCCCAATCCTTGATCATTAGGAAAGGATAGCTTTTTTGTTGATGTAAGAAAGACAATAGTAACTGAAATCTTACCCCCTAAATTCAAGGAATGGTTAAATGAGATCAGGTAGGCCTAGCATTTTATTCGTAGGTGAAAATGCTAGTAAAACCACTTGTTATATGAAAATCAATGTAGTAAATCACAGTGGATGATGCGTGCTCTTGTCAATGGGTTTATATCAAGCAAGGAAAACAAATGTACTTTATGCTTTAGAAATCCCATGAATACATGAACAGCAGTACATGGAGAACTCCCTTTCCCCTCTCCTTTTGGCCCTTCCACCTTCTTTAGCCACTTCTAAATTTACTTGTAATTTGTTTGTTGGCTGAGTCAAATCATTTTCTCCCTCTGCCTCTCCCCCTCTCTCCCTCCCCAATATATGCATGCAATGCTTTTAACTTGCTCTAGAGTACCAACACAACCCAAAATATTTTTATGCAGGAATTTGGATGGGATGTACTTATGATTGTGGATGTACAAGGTCAAATTACAATAATTGATAAAGTATTTAATTTCCTTATAATTGATGAGAAACCTTTTTGAAAAGATTTCACAGCTTGAATGTTTAAAACCTTTTCATTGGTCATGGCAGTGCATTCATACAACTCGAATGGTGTGTTTCTGCTCAAGCTGTTGTGCATTGTGAATTGTTGGGATATATATATATTTTTTTAATCCCTTCATAAGATTGCCTTAAACTGTAGACTGATTATGGTTAAAAGAAATGCTTGAATCAAGTTAGATTTCATGAGCCACTAGTTATCTAATGTGCAAGTTTAAGAAGACCCAATTTCAGCCCTGTGTAAATGATTGATTGTAATATCACTTTGCAGTTAAGTGATTACTTTAATCACTTGAAGACAAAATTTGTCCTGTAAAGTGTAAAGGGAAAATTAGGTAAAGGTATATATACTTTAAATTGATGGAATAGTCAATAAATTTATACATTTTAAATGTCCAGTTAACTTCTTATTCTAGCTAAAGACCATAAAGGAAGACACACATTCCTTGAATAAAGATGAAAATTTAATCAGCAAAACTCCTACAATATTCTAGATGTTATAACTTTCTAAAAGTATACTTCCGTTTGTAATGTGTGCATTCATGGGAGGGGGGGTGATTGTATACACAGCCTTGTATACAAAAGTATGACTGAGCTAGGTCTCCGTGTGTAATACGCATGCAAGTATAGGTGATTGTGCAGTGTACCCAGAATATACTTGTGCACATATTACACACAATACTTAATATATGTAGATAGTACACATGAATGCATACATTTGTGCATGTATATTGTACACGTATGCACATGATACGTGTGTGTACGTGTGTGTACGTGTGTGTGTGTGTGTGTGTGTGTGTGCACGCGTGTGCATGCAGTTGCTTGTGCACTCCTTGTAGTCAGTAGTGGTGCTCGCACATAGTCCATTGTGTGTTCATGCACATAGGCTTGCACACGTACATAGTCCATAGTGTGTGCACATACACGTGTATAAGCTTGCGCAGTCCGCCTGTGTGTGTGTGCGCGCGTGCAGGTGTACAAGCTTGCCTGCCCACAGTCCATAGTGTTTGTGTACGCGCAGGTGTATAAGCTTGCACATGCTTAATCCATTGTGTGTGTATGTGTGCACACATGCAGGAGCACAAGCTTGCATGCACACAGTCCATAGTGTTTGTGTACGTGCAGGTGTATAAGCTTGCACATGCTTAGTCCATTGTGTGTATGTGTATGTGTGCGCACAAGCATGCACACAAGCTTGTGTACATAGTCTATAGTGTGTGTGTGTGTGTGTGCACATGTACAAGCTTGTGTACATAGTCCATAGTGTGTGTGTGCGTACATGCACGCGCACAAGCTTGTGCACACAGTCCATAGTGTGTGCAAGCATGTATGTGTGTGCGTACAAGCATGCACGCGCACATAGTCCATAGTGTGTGTGTGTGTGTGTGTGTGCGCACAAGCATGCACGCGTGCACAGTCCATAGTGTGTTTGTGCGTGTGTGCGCACAAGCATGCATGCGTGCACAGTCCGTAGTGTGTGTGCGTGTGCACACAAGTATGCATGCGTGCACAATCCATAGTGTGTGCATGTGCACAAGTATGCATGCGTGCACAATCCATAGTGTGTGCGTGTGCATGTGCACAAGCATGCACGCATGCACTGTCCATAGTGTGTGTGTGTGTGTGCACGCGCGTGTGCACAGGTATGCCACACAGTCCCCACATGCACGTCACAGGTGTGGTGTGTGCGTGCACAAGCATGCACGTGTGCACAGTCCATAGTGTGTGTGTGTGCTGTGCATGTGCATGCAGCGCGCACAGTCCATAGTGTGTGTGTGTGTGCGCGTGTGCATGTGCACAAGCATACACGCGTGCATAGTCCATAGTGTGTGTGTGCATGTGCACAAGCATGCACGGGTGCACAGTCCATAATGTGTGTGTGCGCGTGCAAGCAAGCATGCACGCGTAGACAGTCCATAATGTTTGTGTGTGTGTGTGTGCGCGCGCGCTCTCAAGCATGCACTCGTGCACAGTCCGTAATGTGTGCGCGTGCACATGCAGTAGTACAAGCTTGTGTACACACAGTCCATAGTGTGTGTTTGTATGTGCTCAAGTTAGAGCATGTACATATGGCAGTGTGTGGGGGCGTTTGCACACTTTCCAAGTACATAACAGGATTGTTTTAGTATCAAGGATTTTGATATATTAAGGTCTTGGCAGGGGTTCATTATGAATGTTGAATGTTTGCTGCATTGTGTATATTCTTCACCTTAATCTTTAGTAATGGAACTAGTGGAAAAAATCATTAGCTCTGGTGTTCCATTGTCCTTGATATTGCTGAGATTTGTGATTTGTTGCCCCAATGTAATAGCTATAAGATTATAAAAAGTACCGTGATTGCTATGATTGACCAAATCTGTAACCCTTTTGTTTCTCATTGATTACAGGTTATCCGATGCAAGAAAGGGAAGGCAGGAATGCACTGCATGAAGACGTTGCAAGCAGTCCTGATAGCCATGTTCGAGGACCCTATTCAGCCCCCACAGGTGGCTTCTATTGTAGAGTCACTAGGGGAGTACCTTATCTCCATGACTTATTGAGGTAAGTTTGATTTCATAGCCTTTATTTATTTTGTGGAGTAAGACCTGCTGTAGTTAGAATTTAAGCGTGCTCTTTGGATCTTGTGAACTTGAATTTGCTTTGAATATGTAATGATTTTTTGGTGTGATTTTACTAGATATTTAGTTCGTATTTTTTCGTTTTGTTTCAGTGAATGAAGACTTCGTGAATATCACTATCTTCATTGGAGCTTCATGGCAGTGGGTGACATGTGATAAACCAGTGTTGACCAGTGTTTGACGGTGACTTGAACATGTGTTCCATCTTGATAAAAACTTGGCTACTCAATCAGAAAAAATAAAAGATGAAAAAAAGTGGAAACCCATGTATTTTTTGTTTTTCTTTGGATAATACCAGCAACATTTTAGGAAAGGCTTGGCTGTCACACCAGTGTTTATGTATGTATGTAATGTATTTGACGTCGGAAAGGGTTCTATGAAATGAATATACTTTCGCGTTTAAAAAAAACACCTTTGTATAATAAATTTTTTCCATGGACATTTTATTATTGCAGCTTTTTGTGAATTAACTTGCACTCTTATATAAGTGATGGTTTGCAGCTGATGGTTTTTGCAACTATTAGTGAAGTGGCTAGCCTGTGTATATTTGCGAGCATTTAGTGGTAGGGAGACGGATGATCTGTTAACCTTGTCCTTATAATCCTGATAATTTTGTCTTCCTCTGCTTTCAATCTCCAGAACATACCTCTTGACAAATTGCCTTTTTCAGTCTTGCCTCCATCTCAGTATTTTCCTCATCCTCAACTCCCACACTCCAACATACTTGTGTGAGTGTCTAGTCTCTGCTAGCCACTGATCCCAGTGTTGATTTTTTGTTTTATTTTTTTTATATTAAATTTGTTCCTAAATGAAATTTAAAGTTTCCTGTACCCAACAGCTGTAAATGGAAACTATTAAATGGAATAAGCATTCCTTATCTCAACTGGTATCTTTTATGTTGATATCCAACGAACTATATTTTCTTGTATGAAAACCTACTCTAGCCTGTAACTGAATATTGGGTCCTAATTACTATTACTGCGCAATTGCTCAGTCTTGATAAGTTTTGTTATAAAGCCAATCTTTCTTTTTGATTATGATTACGGGGAATAATTTTTTCTTTGAACCCCGTGCTTTTTTGGGGATGGGGGGGATTTTGAACTTGAATTTTGAAAAAAGTTTGGGGGGATCCCTGTCATGGATTCACGAGAGATCGGCGATTATGAACCCGAGGTGATTGGTTCAACGCAGCTCATTTTCCTGTTCAAAACGCATCTCTGGTTCAGAATCGCTGGTCACAATTTTTTAACTGTTAAGGTTCCAGTGTAGTGTCACCCACTCAGGGTTGGCACTGCAATTCTTGGAGGCACAAAATTGGCCCATGTGCCCAGGCTTGGTGTTCTGCCGCGTCAGTAGTTCTACTGCGGACGCTCAGTATTGTACAGCTTCCATTCCCCCCCCAATAAACACTACTTAATAACATTATATTTTTATATATCCCTTGGTTAAGGTGCACATAACTGGCTCATTTTCTTTTTGTAAACCATTTTCCCAAGCATGCCAGTGGATCCAGTGCACCTTGTAGCTAGGCTGGCTTCATTTGTGAAAGTCACTTGCATCCAACGTAATTGTTTTTTCACCTTAGAAATAGACATTGGGGTAGATGTACAAAAATATTAATCGGACTCAAATCTGAACTGGTAGTAGACATTGCATGCTAGTTTTGTAGATGGAGATTCTATAGACTTTGGCTTTGTCAGTTTAGTCATATATTGTGGGGTAAGGAGAAATTCCAACTTTTCTTAATTTTGTAAAATTGCAAAATAGCAGGACGTACAAACTGTAAGGGTGGAACGCAAAGCCTGTTAATCTAGAGCCTATAATTAATGATGGTAAGCAGGAATAATGCAGTGCGCCTGTATTTCATAAATATTTAGGTCTTTAATATGGAGAGAACATCTCACTCGAAGAAAAAGAAGAATAAAAAACACCAATTATTGTAATGTTTATTTTGCCAAGTGTTTTACAGGTTAATAAAAATGCATTAGACAATTTGACTTACAAAACAATGTAGCGGGAAAGTTTTAAGTACAATCAAGTCTTTGCTGCCACCCATTCTTAGACTTGGTACCATCATGAGCAAGATGTTGCAAGCGGTGAGATGAGATGGCAAATTTCAACATTGCTCGGGCACTACACCAATAAGCAATTGCCAATTAAGGTTTCAGATCTTGAAAAGCATGGTAGATGGTCTCGGACCTTAAACCTAAGATTTTACTTATGCCATCGAGGTTAAAATTATATTAGATGTGGCTTTACATTCAAGGACAGTTTTCTTGTTACACTGACAGTTAAATTAAACCCTTTTCGTGGTTACAAATACAGGTGGCCGTGTTAGCAAAGATTATACCACATCCACAAACAATTACACGCTACCAAGATAAGATATGTACAAGTAGCGATGAACTCACCGGATTGTGGAATAAAATTGTTAGTTTTGTGTCAAGTAATAAAACCTTTTCACTATATATAATGCTAAATGGTTAAATAAAAACTTTTATTTACAATATACATCTATAAATCCCACAAGTATTTGATAAATGGACTCGAAAAATACAAACCCCTTGTGTAACCAGAAATTTGACAAGTGAACAAATCAATTACGTTACGAAGGCCCCTGCAGTATCTCTGCTGTGGAGGACTGACGAGTCAATACAACCAAGCGGAACTGCCTTGCGTGTGTGTAGGAGGGGACTGGTTGTGAGTTGTGTGCCAAGTTAACCTGAGCCTGGCGCATTTTGAGGCTAAGGGTGACGATATTTTTCTTATCGCCTCCATTGCCAGAACTTGTTACCTATTCACATGTCTACACTTGCTAGGGAAACCTATACATAAACTACAGTTCATTTGCAGTAAGGTTGAAGCTTGATATACAACCGCATGTTCTTGACAATAAGTATGCCAAGCAAATGAACTGAAATTTACTTCTAATTTCATTCGGTAGACGTGTGATAGCTACAAGAAAATGGGGTGAAGACTGTAACTATAATTACAGGCTATGTTAAGACCAACCGTTGCCTTGGACAGCATTTCCTGCTTGTGAGGTTGGGAGGGGGGGGGGGGCTTCGTGTGAATGGAGACTGCACTATAAAGGAACAATGGCTGTTGACATCGAAGCAAAACACAGCCGCTGAAAGAGGCTTATATGACCGGCGACCTTTCCGAATCTGACAACACACAGCTTACAAGCAATATATCTATACAACCTAGTTTATTTTTTATTTTTGATGGTTTAAGCTATTAAAGAAAATGGAGATTGTAAATTACTACTTAATCTAGCTTCATGAAAATTTGACTTTTGTGAGTAATTTGAGGATGGATTTTTCAACTGACCAGTCGCCCCAAAAATTACTGGACAGAATTTTGGACTTCGAAAAAAAACTGTCCCCTATATATAATGTACATTATAACTTACTATTAGCTATATACATTGCAGGAGTCACACTTAGGGCCCCAACAAACATTTTATTATAACCTGGCGATCTGCAACTGCATTGTCAGCCTTAAAGATGTTAAACCAAACCCTATCCACCGTTGACCACGCGTTGAGTGGTTACCAACTATACACCTTAAACAACTAGCTAAATCTGTCCGAATGGCCATGTATTTTGATGAGTATTTGGCTGTTCTATGGCAGATTACACTTCAGGAGTCTGGGAGAAGATAACGTTGCAGCTACATCACGTGTCATTAAGCTACACTTTGTTGTCGAAGGAGTACTGTTTCCTTCGCCAAAATCCCCGGAAGAAGTTGAAGCGGAACTTGGAGCCTTCACCGTCTGAAAGAGAAAATATGGTTAACATTGTCAAACTCTTAAAAAAAAAAGAAAAAAAAGAAAAGAAAAAAAAGCGATAGTAGTTTCCTCACACATTACTTACTGCTCCATGTTCTTTAGTTAGCATATTTTATCATAGGTACACCTCACATTAACAGTTATAGCTGCACTATCTACAAGTTTATATAAACCGAAACCAATATTAATATGCATAGGACATGGAGATTTACTTCACACAATGAAAGCAGAGATAAACCAAAGACACTATACTGTATCTGATAAGTATAGTTATACACAAAGTTGACAAAACGGAGAAATAACTGATGAATCTCGATACGAAATCGTGAATGAAAAGCCACCACCGCTTTAAATATCCGCTGCAGACGTCGCCAGCGGACAACAGGCAAGAGTTCACGCCCCCGAGAGATGGTGCTTGGTCGTATTCATTGCTCCCCATATGGTACACATCAGAACTCAAGATTCGCCATGTCAAATGATTGATCTAAGATCAAGTATCGATAGGAAAACTTGCATACATTAAGTCACGCTGCTACACATTCATTATGTATGGAAAGATTAATGCAGTGTTTTGGAAGCTATAATCGAAGCTAGATTTTCTCCCTTTCCCCTCCTCCTACCCTTCTATAAGCTCTGGTAAAAAATAAGAGTGAATTATGTCCCTCAACATTCACGCAAGCGCACTGTATTGTAGAATGACGTTGGCGTGATGCTAATCGTACAATGAAGGCTGTGGCTGGCAGCTACACCCTAACATCAGGAAGTCTGCTTGACACACAACCAGTCTCCAAATGGGTTACGCAAAAATATCCACCGGCCCTGTCTGCCTTGGCCACGTCTCTAGATCTCGCCTGCACAAGTATCCACAGCCATACGGGAATGTTTCCGTAAATCTGGGTAAAAATAACCGTTGTTAAATATAATTAATAAAGCCTAAATAACCAGAGATGGCTGTCACGATAGCTCTGGGGTTTTATGTAGAATGTAACTAGAGCGAAAAGTTAAAATATTTGTTAAAGTAAATCACTGAAATCCCATGAAAAACGACATCTAAAACTTCTTGCTAAATACGATAAACTAACATGAATTTCGTTCCGTACTGATAAACCACCGCACATTAGATGCGCGCCTCACACAAGTAAAATTGAATAAAAAAAACCTTTGCCAAATATGGTCCCCCTACAACCAAAGTGGTATGTCGACCAGTTCAAAACACACTCGCACCTGTGCTCAAGAGCGTCGCTTTTCTCATGTTAAACCATAGCCCAATGGATATAGTGTATGCTGAGGGTTAGGAAAGTTGGCGCTCTCACGGCTGGCACCTCGGCATAGTAGGGATGAACATCTGGTGCCCCTGATACACTTCGTAGTACGTCTTCCTTGTCAGCCGTTTTTTTTCTTTGACAATCTTATATTTCTCTCTTACTCAAGCACCCATAAGCGTAGTGACGTAAATGCTGCACAGAAATCATGTACCCAATCCTCTTCCCGCTATTCTAGTACGGTCGCATCAAAAGAATACCTTTCTCATGACCTATCTCACCCTTCCACTATTTCTAGCTGAGAAAATAAAATAAAAAGTCAGTCAATAGTAAAAGGGTGACCCGTCTCCAGGTAGCGAGACGGCCATCAACCAACTCTAGAACTACTATGGGCGACCTTCGGAACACACAGACGCACGCAACTCACTCACTCACTCACTCACTCACTCACTCACTCACACACTCACACACACACACACACTCACTCACTCACTCACTCACTCACTCACTCACTCACTCACTCACACTCATCACTCACTCACTCACTCACTCACTCACTCACTCACTCACTCACTCACTCACTCACTCACTCACTCACTCACTCACTCACTCCACTCACTCTCTCTCTCTCTCTCTCTCTCACACACACACACACACAGACGCACACACAGACGCGCGCGCGTACACAACAGGTGGGAAGACTTACAAATACTATTGCTCTGCTTTATTTTGACCTTCGTGAAGGCTACAGCTTTTCTCACGGCCCATCTGTGGAGGTAGCACGTCACTCGAGGCCTTCAGGCTACCCTCTCAGTTTATGGAACTTTGACAGAGAAATTTTGTGAAATCAAACGTCTCACCTTTGTCATATATCAGACAAAATTCCTCACTCTTCTTCTAAAAGAGAATGAATGATATGTGTTGTTTGTACTTATGTATGTGTCTGAGTGAAACCTTTAAAAGAGAGCCGCGCTATTAAAAGGAATACGAGCAAGGAAGGTGCTAATGCCGAAAGTGCACGAGGAAACTTGTTAACCATGAACCCGTAAAGTAAAATGTCCTTCAACAGCATTTTCAAAAAGAGAACCATTTTTATCAGTCATTCACACTCAAGTAAAAATATTCTGTTCGTTCCCAGTGGTCTAACTGTAACACCTGTCTCGTGGCTTTTATACTTAAATATATTACGCAGATGCAGAAAAAATAACAAATTTCAGTTTTTTGAGGCGATTAATTCTAAACTGAACATTAATGGCTACTTGGGTCATTTATTTTTTCTTTTGCTGTAATAAATGAATTACTTCCTTTGATGTCTAGCACATGTATTTGTTTAAAACATTAACCACTCCTTACCCGAAGAATCAGATCTCTCAAATGACATCTTAAACACGCCATCAACATACCAATCATTATTACTTTTCGACCCCCCTTACTCCCAACCCACCCCCACATCCAACCCATATCCCCCGGCCCACAGCCAACCCATTTACAGCGCCTTCTCACCAGCATAAAGAAACAAAAAGAGGGCCAGTAAGAGCCTCCTCCACAACGAATCAACACCCGAGCCTCAACACGACGCGACGCCCCTCCACGGCAGCCAAGGTCTTCGTCCTGTCTGCGACGCGGCGGAGGCTATGGCCGCGTCATTTCGGGCGCAGACGGAGTGACAGTTTAATGTTTCACGGATAACTTTGCTGCATAACACGCCTGCTCGAGTTTTACGTGCTGGCTGTTCCAAGGAAAGGTGAGCTGAGGAGGAGAATAGGAAGGTTGAAGAGAATGAAAATGGACACAGATACGGAATCTTTCTCTTGATCTCTTCTTTTTCTCCTCCTCCCCTCCTATCTCCTCCTCTCCTCTCTCTCTCTCTCTTCTCTCTCTCTCTCTCTCTCTCTCTCTCTCTCTCTCTCTCTATAATATATATATATATATATATATATAATATAATATATATATATATATATATATATCAGCCATGTACCCATCCAGCTCTGCGAGGGAGGGTGCCTTAGGAAATTACCTCCGTAAACCCACTCTCCGACAACTTGGCGATTCCCCTTTGATCTGGACTCGTTAACTGCCGCCGCGATTGGGTAATTGGAGGTGGGGGAGAGACAGGTGAGAGGCCTCGAGGGGCAGGGAGGAGGAGGAGGTTTGCTAAATGAGGGACACGTGAAGATGAGACCGATTCAGAGGGAGAGGGAGAGAGAGGGAGAGAGAGGGAGAGAGAGGAGAGAGAGGGAAAGGGAGGGAAAGGGAGGGAGGGAGGGAGGGAGGGAGGGAGGGAGGGAGGGAGGGAGGGAGGGAGGGAGGAGAGAGAGAGAGAGAGAGAGAGAGAGAGAGAGAGAAGAGAGAGAGAGAGAGAGAGAGAGAGAGAGAGAGAGAGAGAGAGAGAGAGAGAGAGAGAGAGAGAGAAGAGAGAGAGAGAGAAAGAAAGAAGAAGAGAGGCAAAAATAGAGAGAGCGACCTAGAGCAGCGGAACAAGAGCAAGGGAAAGAGCGGCGCCTCCCGTTCCGCCATGGGTTTGTTATTTCCTGACAAATAATAGATGGCGCTGAGTAGCAGGCCAGACGCCCACAGCTGTTGTTGGAGGGGCGGAGTGCTTGCTGGAGGACTGGGCGGGAAGAGAGGATGCTAATATTGACTTAGAAGGCTGGGGGAGTGACGGAAACCTTTCGTTCGAAGATGAAGGAGATAAAGTGAGTAAAAACGAAATACGAAGAGGAAGAAGCAGCTCGAGACGAAGGCGATAAGGAGACGGAAAGAGCAACAAAATAAACGAAATAAAAAAATCAAACCAATAACTAAAAAACATGCGTGAAACAGAAAAAGTCCCAACGAAAAACAGAGGAGGACTAGAGGCAAGATTTCGACAGCAGCGAGAAGGAACCGGAGGAGATAGAAAGGGCTGATGAATTGTGGGAAACGCAGGACCGATAGACTGTGTTGATGGGGCGCCGGGATGCTGCTGGAACGCGTGACTCGGAAGAGGGAGAGGAGAGGGAGAAGGAGAGGCGGGGAGAAAAAAAAGAAGGGAGGAGGGGAGAGGAAAGGAGAAAAGAAGCAGGAGAAAAGGATGGTCAAACGGGAGATAAGGGTAGGAGAGATGGGGAGGAGAGGGGATAGAGAGAAGCGGGAAGAAAGGGAAGGAGAGGAGGGGAGAGGAGGAAAGAAAGAGAAGCGGGGGGAGGAAAGGAGGACGGGGAAAAAGAAAGCGAAGAAGGGAAAGGGAAGGGAGGAAAGGAGAGGAAAAGGAAGTGAGGAAGTGAAAAGGAGGAGAGGAAGGAAGGGATGTGGAGAAGAGAGGCTTGAGGAGTTGAAAGAAGGAAAAGAAAAGAGGGGGGAGTTAAAGAGGAAGAGATGAGGAAGGGAAGGAGAGAAAGTTAAGAAGTGGAGAAGGAGGAGAGTGAGGGAAGTGTTAAGAGGGGAAATAAATAAAGCGAGGCTGGAGAGCAAGGAAGGTAAGGAGACAGTTAAAAGAAGATGAAAGGGGAAGAAAGGAGGAGAAAAAAGAAATTATGTATGAATCGAAGCGAGAGAGAGAGAGAGAGAGAGAGAGAGAGAGAGAGAGAGAGAGAGAGAGAGAGAGAGAGAGAGAGAGAGAGAGAGAGAGAGAGAGAGAGAGAGAGAGAGAGAGAGAGAGGAGAGAGAGAGAGAGAGAGAGAGAGAGAGAGAGAGAGAGAGAGAGAGAGGGGGGTGGTAAGAACACAGAAGGGGGAAGAA